CTGGTGAAACTGGTGAGGAGAGTCTGGCTCTCTTGTCTCCTAGGCCAAGGCCAGCAGAGTTGCAGGCTCTCCAGGGAGAGCTGCTGAAAGTGCCATGTCAGGAACACGTGTCCTGGTAAAGATTGCCCAGTGGCCTTTCTGAAGGGTACTCAGTGCCTCCACTTTCCACCAGCAACTACGGAGCTTCTCCCTGGAAGAGACTCTCTCTCTCTCTCTCTCTCTTTCTCCTTCCCTCATTCCTGCCTTCCTTCCTAGGCATTGATCCTGCTCCAGGGTGTTTTCCAGAACCTTCACTGCTCCCTAATTACCCAGTAATGCTGAGAGATTACAAAAATGCTGTCATTTGTGTAAGAAGGGGAGGGCCGACTGAAAGAAGAGGAAAAAAAGGATAGAAAATGCTGTTAAGGCTGGCAGAACTCCAGGGTGGGTAATTACATTCTTTGGGGTGTGTTCTCAGCACACACACAATCTGCAGAACATTTCAGGAGGCTTCTGTATGAACTGTGGTAGGAAACATGAAAAATATTATCATTATTATTTTGTAAACCTCTTTTAAGAATGGGACCTTTGTAAAGCCACAGAGGGACCCTGTTTCTGATTGCATTTTTGCCAATTTGTTAGCTGTCAGTGATCTGTTCTCAGATCATAAATTTGATGTCCCCCTACCCCCTTGAATTGTTTTATACTGGCAGCCTAAGATTTTCAAGCCACGGGAAACTGTGGTCCAACCCCCACATTGTACAGATGGAAGTGAGAGCCCAGGGAAGAGGGGAACTTGTCAGCCATAGCCACAGGGAGCAGGAGGTAGAGGGGGCAATGGGCCTCATTAGCCCTGATCCCTCTCCCCTTCCTTCCTCAACCCAGCTCTTGCTGTTAAGTGGAGTCCTGGGGTATCAGAACCAGAAGTGTCTGCAGGCATCACCTCATCTTCACCCTGTCAGATGAAGAAACAGAGGCCCAAAGAGGAGAAAACAGAGATGGTTGGACTTCAGTCCCCAGGCTTTCACTAGCACTCTGTGGCCTGTGTACCAGATCAAGCCCATCTTGACCATCTCCCCACCACTACCACCTGGCCCTTGCCATAAATGCACACTAAATATTACAATCAACGAAACAAAAATCCACATTTCTACTTTATCTTAAAAGTAATGTGGAGGCTGGACCATCCTGGGCCTACCTTTCCTCATGGCAACAATGGGATCCCATTGAGGACTTGCCACCCACGTTGACAGAGAGTTCTGTTTGCCCTCACAGCCCTGCCTCCTCCCCCACCTCAGCTCACTCCAATCATTTCCCTCTTTGGCCCAAGGAGGCATTTCATTAAAAAAAAAAAATCCCTGCCCAACACTATTCTCCTTGATTTGCAGTGTAAAATCCAAGCCAAATATGTAAATATGAGGCTACTTTGGCTACATGGTAATACAACTTAAAGCATAGCAAAGATCAAAGCCAGAATAAGTCAAAATAGTCCCTAAGATGGACCATGCCATATCCAGGGCATAGATTAAGCAGTGGGTGGACAGCTTTCTCGCGGCCCTCTCAACTTCCTGGAATCCTTCTGTTAGACATCTCTCTAGGCTTCAAGGAGCAGCCATCCTCAGTTAACCAAACTGAATCCCTCTCCTGTGTAACAGAATGAGAGGGAGGCTGGAACAGGGGCCCTGGCGTCTAGTCCCTTGGATACTAATTGCTATATCCCCTTGAGAAAAGTTTTTCAGCCTCAGCACTACTTACGTGTGTAACTAGGTTACTCTTTGTGTTAAAGCAGATGTCCTGTGTGTTGTACAAAATGTAGCCATCTCCGTGGCTTCTACTTACAAGATGCCAGTAGTACTTTCTCAGTTGTGAGAACCAGAAATATCTCCAGACAATGCCTCATATCCCCCTGGGGAGAAAGGTGCTGCCCATTGGGAAGCATTGTCTTCAGCTAACCATCTAGCCTTAATTTGTAAGAGGCTCTAGTTCCTGTCCATACGGGGATGTTGTGAGGATGAAGTGAGATGAGAGATGTATAGGTGCTGTGTACATCAGAGGGTCACATTACTTGCAAGGTCTGGTTGCCATCAGTCACAACCAACTACAAAGCATCAAGTCTTCCAAGACTGACATTGGCATGTCAAATAGGACTGGGGGCACTAAGGAGAGAGAACATGAGAGACTTCCAAAGAATAGCACCTATGCCAATTGTTTAGGGAACTGAACTGTCTGGCATGCAGTTAAAGCCTCTGAGGCTGAGAAAATGGGAAAATCACCTTCCACCAGTGCCCAGTCTTTTTACCAACTCACGTACTAGGTATTGTAACTGTCATACTAACAATGCCCAAAGGCTCTCCATTGCCTGCTAAGAATTTAGTGGCCTCCAGATCCTGACCCTGACTGCTTCACAGTTTCATCTTCCCCCACCCTCTGTTCCCAATCGTGTACCAGACTCAGAACATATGGCATCCTTTCCTGCCTCCAGCCTTTTCTGGTGCAGTTTCCTTTGTTCACATATCTTCCCCAGCCCTTGGTTTCTGTACGTAATCCCCCATCCTTAACAGCCAGCTCTTTTGAAGCTTTGCTGGATCTGCACAGACAGACACACTGATTGCTTCCTGCCTTGCGCCCCACTGTTGTGTTCACATCTCTATTAGAGCACTTGTCATGATCTACTTTGGGGGACAGTTGGCCGTGTTCATCTGTCATCTTCTTCTATCAAATGCCCTGCCTTGAGGCAGAGACCACATTTGACTCGTTGCCATATTCCTCAGCACCTGACACCCTGTCACATACAGAGGAGGTTCTCCACCAACATTTGTATTGGAGAGAATTTCCAAGAGAAATGGGATAAACAGTTGAACCTAAATGTAATTTGACCTAGATGCTCAAGCTTGAGATATGTTAAGTTTCATGTATACTGAATCACGGAACAATTGTGTATTTTGTAGATCAAGGGAAGCTACTGACCATATTGAGCAGGACCAGTGACACAGATATATATTTTAGGAATATAGACTGACTATACAATTTATAACAATCATAGAAAGTACAACTTTTTGACTTAAGTGCCCCTCCCCCCAGTTAGCAAAACAAGTTTTACTTATTACAGGTGGGCACTAAGGTTTTGCTAATTAACCCTTGTAAAGGGATTTGAGATCTTCCTCTGAAAGATGACATAGAAGTGTGAAGCCTTTGGTGACAGCCTAATTATTATTATTATTACCAGGCACAAAGCTCAGAGAACTTAAAGGTCTCCAGGTGACATTCAAAATAGTATGAGAAAAAGTGCAAATGGGGAAATTATAAGATCAAATCCCTAAATCACATTCTTAAGATTAGCAGGCACCTTGGAAGTGATCTTTCCTGATTCAGTTCTCCCAGCTTCCCAAACCAAGGCTTGCAACCCATGTGCAATGTCCCTGCCCAGTACTCACTGCTGTTAGAGCCTAACAGTTAAAAGGTTGGGCCTGATGATAAAGTTCCCTATATTTAAACCCCCAACCTCTTTCTTGTTAGCAACGGAAACTTGGGTAAATTATTAGCCTTCAGTTTCCTTATCTATAAGATGAGCATGAGATTTTCTACACAGGGGTTGTTTTGTTGTACAAATAAGTGATGTATGTGCGTTTCTTGCCATGATCCCTGACACATGATGGATGACAGATAAATGGCTTTTAAAAATCACTTGAGCTAATTAATAAATATATGTGAAAGTGAATAAGAAATTATCAGGCATCTGACCTTATTTAGGGTCTCCACTGAACACATCAGGCACTTCTTGCCAGCTCCAGCTCCCATGGCTGTGATCTGAGTGTGTGTGCTTATGCAGTCTTGGTGAGGGAAGTGAAGAGTCTCATTGAATAGGATAAAATACCCTATTCAAGAGGCAAAGCACCATCAGGCCTAAAGTGTGTTCTCCCTCTCTCCAACTAAGAAAAAGGTGGACTTTCCCTCAGGAGGGTTATCCTGGGAATCCTGACCAGAGCAATGTGTCTGCTGGTAATAGCCACAGCATTCAAGTTTATAGATACAGTCATGTCCCCTAGTAGGTCTATAACTTATGGTGAAATCCATGTGGCTTCAGTTTCTCTATTAACAAAACAGGACTCATAGCCACTGCAGAAGGTTGGTGTGACAGAGATAACACTGTGAAACTGCTTCATGAATGGTAGAGTGCTCTGTGACTGCTGGTGACTGCTGCTCCACAACCTACCCATTTGCCCTGAACACAACTGTTCTACAGCTCATTTCAATGGGAACCCTGGTTCTAACTTATACTCAACCTGATCAGCATCCAGAAACAACTCAAAGAAGCCTGAATCCTCTCACTAGAATCCCTGCAAAATGACTCATGTAATTGCTCTGTGTAAGTATCCTTAGTCTTTATTGTACACCCACACAATTCTGATGCTATAGACTCCTGTGAAATGCAGGAAAAAGGGGGAAGGGGACCTCTTGTTAATGCCTAGGGTTTAAGAGAGACCACCAGTGTGGTAGACAGGAACTGCCAGATACACAAACCAACACACCTGCCCATCATTCTAGATCCTCTCATTGTCTTTCTGCCATTCTTTCCATTTGGAGAGGGGAAAGATTCCTTTTATTTTTCCCTTTAAAATTTCCTAGGAGGGATTTCTAGGGTCTTCCCCTCAGGAATTAGTTGTAGGACTAATTGGGCCAGTGGAGTACAGAAGATATATCCAGCACGGCCAGTGCGCTCCTAGAAAAAGTGACCTAGATCAAGCAGCTGGTGAATTCGTGGATAGAGGGCTAGTGTGGGGACCCCCTGCCACCTACTGACTTGCAGCTGAACCCACATTCTCAGTAGCAACAGCCTTGGTTGGGGCTGGAGGAGGGAAGAGAGAGAGCTGAGGAAGGTGGGGGAGGGCGAAGGGGACCCTGGGGTTGCTCCTTTCAGGATCCAGCGCCAGGAATCACCCCCACCCACCCACTGACCCACCTGTCTACACACGTAGCAGGGAGGATCAGTTGGGGATGGGGTGGCAGGGGTGACAGGTAGGGGAGATGGCTGTGCAAGTCTGAGCTGCTGCTCGGCGGGTATTAGCAGGGAGCTAGCTGCCTGTGTGAGTGTGAGGGGGAGAGCGAGAGCGAAAGCGCAAGGGAGGGAGAGAGAGGCTGTGAGAGGAGAGGAGAGGGAGAGGGAGAGGGGGAGCGAGCGCTCCAGCTAGCATGAGGACGGGCTTCTCTTTCCCTGCTCAGTTAATCTGGCTGTCAGTTGGTGTTAACGCTGCAGTTCAAGTGCGTGGATTCCAAGGGAAACAGACAAACCTCACAGAAGGAAGGAAGCAAGCAAGGAAGGCAGGAACTGCAGGAGGAAAGGGACAGCAGAACAGCGAGAGGAATAAAGGGAAGGGGGGGGAAACACCAAATCTATGATTGGACCTGGGCTTCTTTCTCGCCAATGCAAAAAGGAATATGCAGCACATTTTTGCCTTCTTCTGCACCGGTTTCCTAGGCGCGGTAGTAGGTGCCAATTTCCCCAACAATATCCAGATCGGTGAGTGAGAGGGGCAGCTGGGGAGGGACTTTCTGGGTCTGGCCAGGGTGGTTTTTTTTTTGGGGGGGGGATCCGTGCTGCCCCTCCCCAATCCAAGCTGTTGTGCTTGGCCATCCAAAGCTTCCCGGCAGCAGTGATGGGAGAAAGACTTAGGCTGCCAGCGAGGGGAGGGGGGCTTCTCTGGATCGCATGAGGGACAGAGGGAGAAGTGTTTACCACCATCCCCCCACCTGCACACACACACACACACACACACAGGTACACATGCACACCACTCACACTCCCGACAGAAGCATGTGAAATGGAGGAATCACGCTTCGGAGGAGAAGCAGCAGGCTGTGGCATGGAATGGGGTGGTGGGTGTTTAAGGAGTTAACTCTGTTGCTTGGTTGACGGTGCTTGGCTTCACTTATTTATATAAATATGTATGCTGTGTGTATTTACGTGTGTGATTCCATATTAGATATGCACATATCTATTCAGTTGATGGAGGCAGTGATTTCTTGTTCTCTAGAGGAGGAGAAAGAGACCCTCTAAAAGAAGGAGTGATGGGTGCTGGGTTTATTGCAGCCACTGAAATAATGCCAGAGGCCCCCCCTGGAAGGCAAGGGGGCTCTCTCTAGCTCTGGTCTCTAGCTGCCTTCTCTTTGCTGTCTGCCATGCTGAACTGGTGGTCTCCACTCTCCCCAACCTAGAACTTCCTAGCCAGCCTTTTCTCCTTCCTTTCAATCAGCCATCCTCTTAGATCTCCTGTCCACAGAGACTGCCTTTCTTTTACACACACACAAACACATACACACATGTTCCTTTCCCCTTCCTGTTTGCTGTCCTCAACACTGGGCTCCCTCCTGTCAACTTGGAGGCAGGTTTCAACATGCTCGTGCTGTTTGGTCCCCATTTCCCTTTCTCAGTTTTTGGGCTTCTAACCTCCACCTACACCCCTCGCATTCATAGGCGAGCTAGCAAATATTGCTACTCCTAATACAGGGGAAAAGCAAAACAAACAGGAGCAGTGACATCGATAGCAAAGCATGCCCACAAGGGACTGGGGCTTCAGTGTGACCAGCATATCAGTGCTGCCAGTGTCCTGGAATCAGGGAACTGTTTTGCCTAAAGGCACCTTGCTTGGCTTAGTTTCTTCTTTATTCCGCTTATAGCGAGGCAGGTCTCCTAGGGAAAGTTCCCAGTGCTGGTAGTTTGTCTTCTCTGTGTGTGTGCGTGTTGCTGGGTGGGATGTGTCTGTGGGAGAATATGGGGAAGTTGGCATTTTCTCAGGCACACATGTGTTGCAATACCTGTCTCTTTCGGCCTAACAAGCTGGCTCCCAAGGTAGTTGGAATGGCCATGGAGGAACTTGCTTTGTTTCTTGACACCTGTTAAGCTACATTCACAAGTGCATAGGTACATGTGTGCTAGTGCCTTACACGCAAAACTTCCTGCCTTTGCAAGACACTTGCCTTGCAGCCCAGCCTGTAGCTTCATACCTCCCCACCCCTTCTCTTTCATTCATTGTGGACAAGGAGGAAGGGGCAGAGAAGTGTTTGGGGTGTGGTCATCTGGGAGGGAGGATGAAACATCAGAAGCAGAATTATTTTTTCTTGTTACTGTTTAAAATGGAGGTATATATACATGTGGACATCACTCTTACCTGTAGCATTGTTTATGCTTGTACTTATATATGGCCAATACTTCAGTGACTGTAAATGCTTGTCTAGTGATATCTGCACTTGCTCTCGCCAAATATATCTGTGTGTATCACCATGGGTATGAAGGCTTGGGAGTGTTTTGTATATGTGTAAATGGAATGTTTGCTCATTTATTGCTGCAGATTTTTCATCATATTTAAAACCAACTTGACTTTTATTTACTGGTTCTAAAAAACAAATATGTGTCCACTGTATAAGAACTTAGGAGTGCATTCTATTGGGACCATGATTCCCACTGGACATGAGATAAACTTTGGTGTAAACATTCATTCCAGTTAAATCTCTGAAAATAGCTGACTTTCATTTACCGAAGTTTATTTGTTTATGTGGCCATAGTAAATACAAATGTAAGCCATGTACTCGTTTCTTAGAACAGGAGCTGTGGCAGGCACCTTTCAAGTGCTTTCTCATTGAATGGAGCATTCATATTCTGTTGACATTCTTAAGACCCCACATCCTTGAAAAGCAAAATCTATCATGCAAACACACAATAGTAACCCCTTATGTAACAAGCCATTCCTGGGTAGCTGGGATCAGGAGTGGTGAGAGAAACAGAAACACACTATTTGCACAAATTCAAGAGTTTTCAGAGGAAATGAAGAATAAAACTTAGGAGCAATAAAGTTGTTGAATTGCACTGAAACCTTGGCAGTACCAAGGCCAAAAGTATCGAAATAAATGATTATAGTTCTGGAGAAGCCCATAGGGTCACAGAGCTAGATTTCAGCCACTCTGCAACATTTATCAGCCCCTACTTCCTGTAAGGCTCTGGGGTGAAAGCTGGGGCCCACACAAGGCAACTCTGACACAGTGAGGCTCCATGTGTATGCAAGAGCATAGGCCTCCCACGTGGTTCGTGAGAGAGAAGAAGGAGACAAATGCCGCCAGTCTCCTCTTTTCTCTGACCTTAGCTGAGGTGTGGGGTGCACAATCAGTCCAATGTTTGAGCAGACGGATAGACATCAGGGGGCCTTATCACATAAAAACTCATCTGTAGAAGTTTAAACCTCTCCATCCTGTTGAGTCTCTCCAACTCTTACCCCTCCCACTGAAGGCCATAACGACTGAGTGTGGTATAGGGAAAAGAAAGGGGCTCATTTAGGGTGGGCTGTTGAACCAAAACCTGTCTCTAGTCCAAATACCATGTCGCATTTTTCTTTCCTCATAGGGGGATTATTTCCAAACCAGCAATCACAGGAACATGCCGCTTTTAGATTTGCTTTGTCACAACTCACAGAGCCCCCAAAGCTGCTTCCCCAGATTGATATTGTGAACATCAGTGACAGCTTTGAGATGACCTATAGATGTAAGTAATTGCTTCTATTTCTGAGATTTCTTCCTGCTACAACTGTGAAAGGAGGGCCTGTGGGGAGGTGGTGGTGTTGCAAAAACGACTTGACTTGTCATTCGTCTTCATAAGAGAAAACCCTCCAAGAAAAATTTCAAGAGCCTTTTGAGTGATTCCAGCAGTTGGTATTTTAGATCCTGCAATGCTTCATGGGAGGGGTTTGCTTTTTCACCATCAGCCAACTTTAAATGCCAGCATGATGGGCACTTAGGTTGACTGCTTCTCTCCTACCTCACTAAGGTTTTCTGGTTGTGTTGAGAGGATTTCACACATAGGAAACTTCTGAGAGATGTAGAACTAAAGGTTCTGACTTTTGGAGAATGTGATTTTAAATGCTTAAGAAATTTCTAGTCTAAGGCTAAAAGGAGAAAGTAAATGGCCCTGTAGCTTGATAAGAAAGAGTAGAAGGGAAATTGTATAGCTGGGTTCCCATTTTTGGAAGTGATCAATAATTATTGAAACCTGGTGCCTTGATTATTTCCAACATGGTCTTGGAGTGATTGATTGCTCATGATATAGGTTGTAAGACAGCCTTTGAGCATAAAGTAAAACAGAAATGACCTCAAGCAGGAGAAGGGAAAGCTAAACCTCTGACATCAGAATTGAATGCATTATAAAAATGGGGAGGAAAAAACGAAGAATATAGATTTTTTTTCTGGAAACTAGGACTGAAAAAGAACCTATGTCGTTGTAGGATTTTCATTTTATGTCAGATGAAAGCATAAAAATTAATCAGTAGAAAAAAAGAGAAACTTCACCTCCAGGGATTAAGTTCAAGTAGAAATTTTTGGCAGGGAAGTGCAGGCTAAGTGGGTAAGAACAATTTGAGGCCCACAACTGTATGAAAAGGGGACCACAGGATTTGTGAGCCACTGTTGACTTGGGTCCTTCTGCTGAGTTGTGGATGATTGAAGGGACAGAATGTATTTCCTTCATCTTTTCCTTATATTCTTACAAGGATTCTCTCAACAGTTTAAGCTGAACATGCTTTTTAAGTCTCAAAATAAAAATCCAAGATTTTCCCTTTCCTTAAGACCACTTTTAAGATAGTGTTTCTATGAATTTCAAGAATATATTAGATTTCACTTTTTGAGGACTTGCCATGTATCAAGAATGATGATAAGTGCTTTTTAGACTCTTAGAGTAACATTCATTTCCATTTATTAAGCACTGACTACAGCCCATGCAATGCACTAATTGCTTTTCATGTGTTAGCCCACAGGAGCTTTGAACAGCGCTCTGTTATCTTCCTTTTAGAGAAGAGAAAACTGAGTCAGCAACAGGTTTTGTAACATGCCCAAGGTCACCCAGGAAGTAAATGTGGGTCTGTGACTCCCTGGGCACTGAGATAAATGCACTAATCAATCAACTACAGTGATACACCCAAGGAGGGAATTGTCAGGGGTCCTGGAAGGCAGAGATTGGATAAAGAAAATAAGAGCAGAAACTTAGTATTTCATTTGTATCTATGATTTTGCACAGGTGTGGCTCACTCAATAAACAAAATAGCCGTTCTGCATTGTGATAATGCTGAAGTAGAAAATCTTATCTACTCTGTTACCCACCAAACTTAAAAAAGAACTGAGACTTAATTCTTGAATGATTGTTTTGATGAAACCATCTTCTTGAGAAGTTAGAATACCACTGAGAAAGTATTTAGCTATTAGATAACCTTTCATTCCTTTTGATAGTTTAGAGTAGGGTCTATGAATGGAGAATTTGGGTGTGGCTATCAATTTATCTATAAATCAACTGTGTACTAATATATTTCCCAGGGAAAGGCTCCACAGCTTTGTGATATTCCTTAGCTTTTGTCATTCTCTCAAAGAAGTTCATTACTCAAGAAGGATTACTTGCTTAGAGAATCAAGAGGAATTAATAATAGCTGGCATGTGTACTTACTCATTCTGTTAAGAAATGTCTACGGCAGAGCTTGGTGGAAAAGGATGTTAACTACTCTCCAATGTCAAGATGCTGACTGGCAGGACAATACAATAAAAGACAAAAGTAGGAAGAAAAGTTATAAGGCAAAGGATGCTGCTTCTGTGTTATTATCACAGCCTAAGACATGATCTCTAATGAAATTGTTGGCTATTTATCAGGGAGGAAGAAATATGGTACAGGGAATGCTCTTTCTTGTGGTCAGTGGACTTGGATCAAATGGATCTGGATTCTTGAACTTGATGCCTTCTATACACCAGTGTACAGTTTTTCTTGAGTTCCCACCTTGTTAATTTGATAATTTTTAAAATGTTTCTTCAAAGCCATAAACTGAGATGGATTGGAATGTAGAGATGATAAAATGTCTTTGTTTTCAGATAACTTACAATCTAATGGGGGACACTGGTGTACAGATAATCTGAAAAGCAATAATGTCATTTTGTGCTTAGACCTTTGCTTTCTTTTAATTCCAAGATCAGTTGGAGCACTGGGCAATTTGGGTGGAAATGGTGGCACCATAATTCCTGCTTACTGGAAGAATATCTATTAATTTTTGTGTGGGGCTAGGGAACACTTTAAGGTTATGCTCATTGTCACCCACTGGTTTGGAAAAACCAATCTTACATCTGTCTCAATTTATTGAGTAAAAGAGGTCAAGGGAGCAGAGAAGTTCTGGTCATAATGGCTTAATTATTTAAACAAGAAAAATGCCTTGTTCAGTTTTAATTGCATGTGCTGTTTTGAAATCAGAAGTTACCATAAATGAATGATCTCAATCCTACCTTTTCCCATATGTCTGCTGTCATTTTTCCCCTATTTTGCTATTCATTATCCCTCCACCAGAGGGTAGAGAAGGGAAGGCAGAGGAACTATTTCTGCTAGACGTGTTAGCAATGGGATTAAAAAGGAAGAGTAGTGGTTATAGAGTATGGAAAATGGAAGACAGGAATCATAAACACCACTGGTCAAGTTGAGAGTCTGGTATCCTCTTGGCATTCAATCTTTCTTGGTTTCTTTGTTCACCATTATTAAAGAGTGAAGTCATTAAATCAACAATCATATGGCTTGGGATATTCTCTGAGTGGTCTTTCAAGTCTGTAAGGATAGGGCGGGGAAATCTCTTCATAGAGAAATTATGTGCTAACCAGCTCTCTGGCCTATCTCAATGCTTTTGTGGTAAGTGCAAATAAAGGAATGAATGAGATGCCTATTGGGGTTCATATTAAAGGTATAAGGAACATTGTTGCAACTTAATTCTTACCTTCTCATTCTTTCATCCATTTATTCATTTAATAAACACATGCCTAAAGCTTACTTCATGCCAGCCATGTGCCAGATGCTAGGAATATCAGGAGCAAGGAAGACAACAGAGTCACTTTGCTGATAGAGCCCACAGTTTGACCTGCAGGTCCTTCAACTTCACTGCATATAAAATGCTTCCAGGGAGTTTGATTAAAGCAAGACTCAGGATGGACTCTCTACTCCCTGAATCAGAATATTCAAGAGCAGACCCGGGAGGAATTCTGCAGTAGTTAGTATGAGGATCACACTTTGAGAAACTCTTTAAAAATTATTCCATTCCTCCAGCAAGCATTTCTGAGTTCTTAACCAATCTCTGGCATGATGTTAAATGCCAGATATGCAGAGAAAAGTAAGACACATTCTCTTGCCCTGGAGGACTTTATCCCTAAAGGAGCAGACTGTCCTGTCAGGAGAAAATTAAAATGCAATGTTCTAAGTCCTACAGCAGTAATTTGCATGGAGTGTAGAGATGCCAAGAGGAGGGGAGTTGGCCAATGGGAGGGTTTTGGTTGAAGTGAGTCTCAGGTGTAAATGGAAGTTTTCAAAGACCAGGTGAGGGAACCCGAAGGTGGGAGAGATAGTACTTTCCAAGCAGAGGGAACAGCACACACAAAAGCACAGAAGACACTTTACATTGTTGTTGCCTTGGTGAGATTCCAAGGGAGCCCCCATGGTGGACTTCTCATTTGCCATTTATCAAATGCTGCACAAAGGTTGCCAAGTGACCAACAAGCCAGTACAGCATCAGAGGTGGATATTGTGAGCCCACTTACTATTTAAGAATCATACAGTTTCATACAAACTTGCGTATCTTGCCTCTCCTACAATTTCAATACATCTGGTAACAATGGGACCCAGGTCTATGTACTCAATTTGCTGGGATGGAACAGAGAGAAGCCCATCTGGATGTCCTCCTTCCCATCTGACCCATTTCTCCAATTTGTCTGCTGCTTCCTGAAAGTGTTGAAATTACATAGCTTGTTTGAGTTGTCCTGCAGTGTTTGCTGTGGTTATGCCTTCAAAGAGGTACAGGTTTGTTCTACCATCAGAACAGGAACTGCTTGCACCATAAGTCCCCACATTTCTATAGTTTGGCATTGCTGAGAACATCTGGTAGTCCCCCTAATACAAATGAATAACTGTCTTCAGGAGCCAGGAAATCACACAACATAAAGATGCTGGGAGCTTAAGTGATGATCAGGTGTCGAGTAGCATCCTTAATTACTGTGAGGTTTCCTCTGTTGTGGACCTAGTTGGGAAGCTCAGGGGCATTCTAACAAGACTCTGGCACTAGCAACAGACAGATGGCCTCTTAGCTCTTGTCTGAGTATCACTCATCATTTTCAGAGTTGCAAATGAACAGTCCAAACTAAGTCAACAGGCAGACTTGTTTTATTTGACCTGCACAATATTTGTCAAAATTTGGCACACAAATCAAGATTTCTGGCTCTTTTGAAACAAACTTAGGGCATTAAGCAACACTGGATCCACATTCCTGTTCATCTCCTGTTAGAACTGAGAGGTGCTACTCTCTTTAAAGTATAATCTCTTAAGTTTATCAAAGTTGTCTTTACTTCCTGCGATACATAGAGCCAGTATAAACATACTATGTTGATTGGCCCATCCTGTAAGAAGGACAACCTGTTCACTTGTGATTTATATCCTGTAGCATCGATCATTATATCATTATAATATATATTATTCTCCCTGTAACA